AAAGTGTTCTTTTTTTTTTTTTGTATGAGTAGGATGCTAAAATTGCATAGAATTATAGATGTGACTCATTAATTAGCAATATATGCTAAAATCCACTGCACTAATATGCGCTATCAAATCACTTTAATAATTTGCGCTAAATAACGAATGCTTTATATTAGCATGAATAACAAAGCTAAATAACAAATGCTTTATACTAATAAAGAGCATTATATTAGCATGAGCTAATAAAGATGCTAATCCTTATAATTGTAAAATTAATCCTTGATGAGGATGTATATGTTAAATCCTGCACCAATTTGGAGAATTGAAAAAGAAAAAAAAGCGGTTTCATTAGTTATCCTTTCGAATTGATATTATATTCTTTCTTCAAATTCGAAATTTATTTATGCCGACGTTTTTGAAATTAACATTGCGCATTGAATTGTGTAACTTTTGCATCAATTTAATTTATATTTGTGATATTTAACAATTATACCTCACCAATAATTGTCACCCTTTATTTATTATTTATGAGATTTATTTATTTTCATGTTTTAGGTGTTGCAACTTTGATTGTTACATTATGCAAAAAATATTTCCAGGAATACAAAATCTTTTCATCTTAATTGTATTTGTTCATTGATAATTTCTTACCTAACTGGTAGTAATTAGTCCAATAGTATTTTTAGTAATTATTAAAAAAATTATTATTGAAAATTGTTAAATTATTATTGAAAAGTGAAAAAATTCCTTTTGAATTATTAAAAAATATTAAAAAAATTCTTTTTGAATTTTCATTTTTAATCATTTATTCATTAAATCTCTATTCATTCGAAATTATTAAAAATTCAAAATAGAAAAAGAAGAAATATGCAAGCCTTACTTAAACTCTTCAAGACTTAAAACCCATTCATGCATTAGAACCACTTGAACTTTAAAAATATCAACATAATCAAGAATGGATGCAGGTCCTTTCAGTATCCTTTCAACTTCATCATTCATAATCTCTTCAAGACAATGACATAACATCATTCGTCGTCGTTCTCTCTACAAAATTACTATTTATTTTCTACAAACATACCGTATCACCGTACACTTTTCTACAATATACCATATTACCGTACATCCTACATTTATTAATTAAAATATTGCAAAACAAATTTTACACTATGCAAACAATGAATCATTGATTAAATTTAAAACTTTTAATTTAATCATTATTTGTGTATTAAAATTATTCGTACATTTAAAAAACCAAAATTACTTTCCAATTCTTACATTTGTAATTCCAAAATATTATATAGACAATTAAACATAGAGTTAATACAGGTAATCATAATTAACCTGTTCCCTGTAATCATCTACTAAACGTGCTATCAAGCCTCTTCCTTGTATTGTTGAAGTTATACCATAATCATAGCCGAATGCTAAAGATGTATCTTTTCTCTGAAGTACAAATTACATAAAAAAATAAACCGAAATACATAAAAAATATTTTTGGTGAATAAAAACTTTTTCATGATTTCAGTTAAATTAATTATTCCGATTAATAATCGATATTCTTATCGTATATCATTTTCCGATATTATCAACCAATCCATACGAAAAGATTTCATTTTAACATGAATAAAATTCAATTTTTGCTTATTTACTGATAATTTATGAATATTTCATTAAATATTAAATTAATTTTAAAAAGTTCAAAATTTCGAAGGATTAGAAGAACAAAAAAAAATTAAAATTTAACAATGATACCATTTCAAGTTGATTATTATTGGAGATAGTTGATAACGATGAATTGCTGATAAATTCCATTGAATCTTTTGCTATTCGTTTTGTACTTATATTCACCACTAATATTTGATAATTATTTACCACTTTTTTGCTTTTGTTTTTTTTTTTGATAATTTTTCATGAGAATGTTTACAATATATTACAAAATAAATGGATTGATTAGACAAAAAATGTTGAATGATATAAAAATGATGTAATAGAATTGATTAAATGATAAAATCAATGATATCATTTGATAGATAATATTCATTAATAAAATAAGTTTGAAATTAAAAGGTATTGATGGCAACAATGACAATAATTAATTGAATGAATTGGCTATAATAAGTAATTGTAATTTAATAAAATAACTTTAAATTAATGGAATATTTTTAAACAAATAATTTTTATTGTGTATCATTTTAAGGCTCATTTTTACTTCTTTTTTTTTTCATTTATTCTTTGCACTAATTAGATAATATTTAAATAAAATGTGAATTCAAATGTTTTAAAACCACAAAGCAATATTTGGCTCAGAAACTATTTGTTAATATGCATTGCAATTATTTGGTCCAGAAAATGCTTGATAAGAAGCTATCTTCGAAGAATAAGATAGTCCACAAAATGAAAGCACAGTAATTGATTATTGGAAGCAAAGAATGACCAACGAAGAGAGAATGACCAATGAAGAAGAAAGTTAATCTTCTAAAAAGTTAATTTCCCTATTGGAATTAATTTTTCTCACAAGTTAAACGAGTAGCTACCAAAAACAAATCAATGTTAACCATCTTATCAATGGACCATTAACGATGATAAAGTAAATCAGTGCGATGAAAATTTCTTAGAATAATTGAAAAAGAAATTTTAATGATAGAATTTTTGGACATCAATCAAAAAAAAAACTAAGTGACAATATAAAATTTATGCATATTCCTCATATTTGTGGTAAATATTTATAAAAATTAAGAAAATTTAAAGAAAAAAAACAATGTTAAATGAAACTTTTTAAGAAATGTTTGTTTAAATTGATAAGGAATGACAGTATAAAAGTACAAATTGTTGATAAAATTTATTTTATCATTGATAAAAATGATAAATCATTTCTACATAGTTTGCAATTAATAAGAAATATAAGAAAAAAATTCAATAGATTTCCATTATCTCATTGAAATGATGTTAAAATTAAGAAATTAAATTTAAACGAATAAAACGAAACTAATCGATTAATTCATGAACGAATAATGCTAGGATAGATAATTTTTGATAAGATATCACTCAGCAAGATAGATAAAAAAAAAGATGTCACTAAATACAATAATTGATAAATTATTAAATACTTGGTAAAATTTAAAAAAAAAAGAATGATAAGTTAATAAACATTAAATTAATATTTAAAAAAAAAGAATGATAAGTTAATAAACATTAAATTAATAAATGAATAATTGATAAAATTGATAAATTAATAAATACCTTTTCGATCCATTCCCATTTGTTCACATTTCTTGAAACGACATGCACGACATGCACATCGAGCATCTAAAATATGCATGCTTGTAATTTCTTGCATTACTAAAAATTCATTATCATTGTTAAAATTTTTATAAAGTGATAAGAAATTCAACTGATAATAAATTGATAATAAAATGATAATATATTCACTGCAAATTTTCCTTTTTGAAACTAATAATTCATAGAATAATCAATGGATATTTTGTCATCTTTTATTTCTTTTATTTCACAAAAAAAAAAAAAACTTGTGATAATATTGTGTAATATTATCGATTAATCAATTTATCATCCATTATCATTATTACTTTATCATTCTTTTTTATTTAACAAAAAAAAACTTGTGGTACTAAAATTAGCTATATGATTAATGAGAGCGGAGGAAAGAGGTGATAGAAAAAAAAGAAAAGAAACAAAAGATAGAAATATTTGACAAAAGCATTTAACCTTTAACAAATGCTAATTATATTTCTTAGCGAATTTATAACATTTTAAAAAAAATTCCGAAAGAAAAATTTCTAAAAAAAATTCAAAAAGTTGCAATTTTTAATTTAAAATAAAAAAAAAGACAAGTAAATGAGATAATGATGAAAAATTTTCGAAAATGTTTTTCAAAATTAATCAACTTTTTTCTTTTTCTTTTTTTTTTTTCTCCCCCTTCTTTCAAAAAGAACGAACTTTTATCGACTCGACATGTACCTCCTCGACGACAATGAAATTTTACACCAAGTAAAACAGCTCGTCGAAAGAATGCATTGCAACCACGACATGATAAGACACCATAATGATAACCATCAGCGTTATCACCACAAATAGAGCATTGTTCTAAAATGTATACCTAAATAATTTTAATTGTTTATCAATAATTATTTATAACAAATAATTATTAAAAATTTTCTATTTTTTCATTTTTTTTTAAACAAATAAGCAAAAAAAAAAGAATTGATCTTTTATAAAAGTATAACGATAATTATGCAATTAATTATTAGCAGTAATTATCATAAAATACGCAAAGATAAATGTGTGAAATAATAATAATAATTATCATTATTAAATTAAAATAAAACTATTACAATGAAGAAATATTTTACAACTATAGTTGTAAGTGATATTTTAAAAATTGTTTAAACAAAAGAACATTTTGATAATCCCAAAAAAAAAAAAAAAAAAATTAAATTAAAAAAAAAAATTTTTTTTTTTGAATGTAATTAACGTTTTATTTTATTATAAGGGCGTCCCCTTTTTTTTTTTTTTGTTCAAAAAAGAAAGACATTTCGAAATTAAGAAAAAAATGAAATTAAAAAGAAAAATTTGAATGTAGTTGACAATTTTATTGTATTACTAGTGCGTTTTTCTTTCTTTTTTTTTTT